TATTTTAAGAAGAAATGCTCTCGGGGAAAGAAGTCTTGCATTTAAGTAGATGAAATATTAATATCAGCTATCATGAAGATAACAACATCAATGATGCTGAACACTGTTCAGTATTGAAAACTACTCTGTGAATTAAATGTTTTGGCCTACATTCCATTTGCCTCTAAGATATTTAAGCAACTTACATGACTCCTACATATACAAGTCACTAGGCATGATCCTATTCCATCCCACTCACCAACCAAGCCCTAGAATTCTCTCTCTGCCAGGGCATGTGTGCTGTTACTGCCTTCTCCCTTACCTACTGTACCCTCTCTGTTTCCTCTGCTCATTCCAGGGGATTTGTGCCCCCTCCTTCCTTCCTCATTGCTGTATTTACTTGAATCCAAGATGAGGTCACCCCCCATACAACGGTGGAGGGATAACCACTCATCTTAGATTCAAGTACAGGATAGGGACAAGCAGTGCCCATGCTGCCTGCCCCAGACCATGGGAAGCTTGCGCAGCATGGTAAGGGGCCTGTGATGGGAGAGGGTGGACTGAATCACAGCAACTCCCCTGCCACTGTGCTCCCCCTTACTTCAAGCATGCTGAGCAGTGATCCAGGGATATTGTTATTTTGGAAGATATCTGTGGCTACCCTTCAGCAGTTCCTTTAGCGATCAACAATTAAAGGTGCCTGCAGTTGTGGATTTGCTAAACAGGGGACAAAGGCTGTAAACGCCTCATTTTCTCTCTTCTGGTCCTTGATATTCCTCCCAAATCAATCAGATTCTGCCCACTGACATGTGGAATGTTCCCAGGAATTCTGGAATAGATCTGGCGTGCTAGCTATATCAAGTTAAATCACACTCAAAGGCAGAATCAGAGAAATAGCAGTGGCTAGCCAGGGCACTGCAAGCTTGGCCAGCTAGCTGTAAGCACATTATTCTGAGACCTTGCAACACACCAAAGCAAGAGGCAAATTAGTAACAGATCAACAGCTTGTGTGTACTCAGAACAAGCTCCGAATACAATCTTCATTTCACTATTTCACTCCTTTTTATCTAGTAATGCAGAAAAAAGTTTAGTATCAAGATAAAAAAAGCAAACTCGACAATCATTTTTCTATACAATAAAGATCACTGCAAACTGGATAGTACTTTTGGCTTTTTACTTGGACCTCAGAAACCCCAGGCTGATGGACTACAGTCCCTCTTCTGCAATATTCTTGATGCTGTAAAATTCAGTCTTTTTAATAGGTTTCTATTTAACAGCTGCTACAGATTTACTAGTGTGCACTTTTTAAGTATACTAATTGCCATGCAAGGTAAGTGGATACTATACGGTAGCCATTATGAAACCAAATATCTTTACTTAAACTATCTATCTCACTACTGCACTGGGCTAACACTTAAATGAGGCAAGCATCAATACTATTAACAACCTCCAACAGTTGTTTTTGGGGCAAGAAAGAAGAGACTACTCTTGCTAGTTACTTTTTGAGCCAATTCTAGCGTAAGTGCAAGTGAACCACTAATTTACAAGGTCAATTTAGTTTGATTATATTCCATATTCTCTCAAGGGGGTATACACAAGTGGTAGTGTTATGACATCATTAAGAGGAATTAGAAACATAAAGAAAGCAAGATTCACAGCAACACCCTGGAGACTGCTTAAAATATTTCAGAGTGGAAGAATACATAACCAGGGGGAGAGGTGGGATGGCAGGGGCAGGGAGGGAGGGTGAGTAAAGGAGAAAGAGTTAACTGGGAATTACAGAGTCTTATTTGGAGAGAAGCATCCCAACTAACATTAAAGGAACAGACTTAGCATGCAGGATGGCAACGGAGATGGTTAAGAGAAAGCATGCAGAACAAAAAGATAAGATCTAGACCCAGCAGACTAAATGCATCAGAAGAAAAAACCATGAAGGAGAAAAGAGCCCAAGGCAACTGTGGGGGGCTGTAAGAAATGACATTATCCCCTAAAAATTACTAGTAGTTATCACCTTAGATGGTGATAGGGCTATACACTACTTCAAAAGTAACCATAAGATTAGCGTCACATCAGGACAGCGAGAATCTGAACCGACAAGAGTTAGGCTGCAGTCCATTATTGCCGGAGAGCACTATGTCAAGTCCTGACAAAGCTCAAGGGCAAAAGCAGCTGATTTTTCCTCTTTTTTAAAAGAAAGTATGTTTTTTGTGAATAAAAACCTGCTGAAATGCATGGCTGGAAAGTAGCCTAACCTGTACGCCATCTTTAGAAAGAGTGGGGCTGGTTTCAAGAGTTTACACAAAAAGGGGAGATCCTATTTCAGCACTAGGAGAAGTGAAGGAAAATTACTGAAGCTAGAGACTTCTACATGTGATAAGCACAATGTGATTGAGTTAAAAATACCTGCATTTTTTTCCTGTTAGCTAGGAGAACAAATTAGAAGGGTTATCAGGTCTCACACTTCAGGTTATCTGAAGCATTTGAGGCATGTATCATCTTGGCATTTAAGTACTAAACAATGGTCATGAAGAAAGAGTGCAAGAAAGACATTTTCTTCTCTTTTCCCCAGGCAGTATATATTTTAAGGAACATCTTCTCTGGAAAAAGGCTTTAGTAAACAGATATATTCTTGTATTTTTCTTTTAACAGTCAGGCCTGGGTTCAATCTAATTTCCTCTGCCATGGACTTCCATAACTCAGGTCCACTAAAAATGTTTTGAAAGCTAAAGCTGTGTTTCTCCAACTGCGCAGTCCCCATGGAAAGCAGCTGTTTTGCAATGGCAGCTGCTGTGGAGGGGGAGGTAGTCCTAAAGATAACAAGGCCTCAATTAACTCAGGTCCTCAAAGATTAGGATCAGGATTTTTAAACTGATTCTGAAACAAACAAGGAGTTATTGGACTTTGAAATACATTAGTGTGAAATTCTTGTGCTGGCTTTTGTTGCTTAAGAGAGTGCTGTTTGCATTTGGTAAATCATGAGACTTCATCTGCTGAAGATGTTCAAGCTCAGGCACAGTAAGCTTCATTAGCCTAACCTGGCAGCAACGGAAAGGCAGAATCAGAGTGACCAGACGCACATCCAAGAGAATGGAGGTTTTTGGTTTGAAACTAGATGCCACCTTTTACCATCATGGCAATTTGCCTGTCAAAGTGAAGCAAGGAATCCAGCATGGCCCCAGTGTCACACAATTATCTGTGGTTTGAGGCCTGGAGTGACGACAATTAATGCATACAACACTGGTTATCCCTAGGGATACGTTAGAGAGACTTCTGGCTTAGTTTTGTGTGGGACAGTTCTTAGGTTTCTATCTTTACAGAGTTTTGCCAATCCCTCTGATTGTGCATTTTCTTAACTTTGCTTGTGTTAGGCACATTACTGAAAGAATGCAATCTATATTGCATGGTGCAGGGGGCATTTCTGCTTGGTGCAGGGAGCTGGACCTGATGATTTTCCAAGGTCCCTTCTGGCCTTACAATCTATGAATATGAATACAGGTGAAGACTGAGGAAGTGAGGGGTTCCAAAACAACTACACAGACCACAATTTACTAGCTAACTGCTATAAAAGCAGAGAAAGGAAACCTAAGAATGAAAGCATAGTTGAAGAAGTGCAGTTGTACACGTAATGAGGTCTCGATACACCATAAATATCAGACTACAAAAACATGAATATATACCCATTAAAGGTGGGTGCACATTTAGAAAGTAAACGGTCAGAAAAGAAGTGTGGCAGCTCAAGACCAAGTAGAAGTAGCTTTGCCATTACCTGCAGTGTCCTGCGTTTGTTGTCTTCAGTGTGTATCCATGCTCGTAACGTCAACTCTGTTATGAATATTTGAGCAGCCTTGGCAAACAGCACAGGAGCTTCAGCACTAATCATCTGCAATGAGAAAAACACATTTTATTCATTCATCAATAAGTGTGCTACTGTACTACAGAAACCTGGAATTACAGTCATGGAGGTTTTGTAGTATTAACAAATAAATAGTCTATGTGCAACTAACACAGCAATCTGGAAGTTTTAAGGGATTTCCACATTTGGAGCTTCTCATTGAAAGATCTGAAAGTCCAAAGGGCTTCTAGTTTTAAACTTAGCACAGGAATAGGAGGACTGGTCGGCTGCAATTCTCCATGAAAGAGCATTTAATAAAGCAGCATCAGTTTCATTGCTCAGCTTGCTGGATTACTATAAGCCAACACAAAAAGTTTTATTCAGTCCGTCTTAATCTTCAAGAACACAACCAGAATTGAAACACCATAAATAATTCATATGGTGGACAAGCTTCTTGTCACAGATTGATAGGTTCCTTCTTTCACTCTGATGGATAATCCATAACAGAGTTCACACTTTTCTCAGACCGATTTATCATGCACAATACAATAGGCATTGTGGAAATTTTGGTTATGACTGACATTTTGGGGCCAAGTTTCAGAAGCCACGGAACACTGTGCTCACAAAGCCCTTAACTTGCAGTTGCAAGTGGTATTTGGTATATGTAAAACTGGGTAGTCAGTCATCTACCAGCTTTGCACAGCAAAAATTCTGCACGTGAAGAAAATGGCAGAAATTCAGAGGTTACATTGAGGCCTTTTCCCAAAATCTCGCCCTTACAGTTAGAGACTATTAACAGTATTTATTTAGGAAGTCACTTTTATATTAATGAATGCAGCATAAAACACAGCAACCTGCACCAAGCTCCATTTTCTTAGTTGTATACAGCTCAAATTCCCTTTCTATTAAAAGTTCTGCTTCACTTTATCTACCTTTGCATTACATTTATTTCCCAGGATAATCTCCTCCTTACTAAATGAAAGCCACTGATCTTTTGTTTTCCATCTCGCTTTTACCTTCATTATATTGGATTTAGCATTAATTTGGGTAAGGCAGTGAACTGGGACTCAAGAGGTTTGGTTTCAATTTGGTTCAAAGCTGAAAAGAATGATTCCTTTGTACAGATGGACAAAGAACACACCTTTTTATGGAGCTTATTTAAATGTTAAAGATTCTCTTAACCTACAGGTGGTATTCATTAGAAGAGTGCAAGTCATTTAGTCCTTGGAAGTTAGCATCTCAGAGACCTCTAGAGTAAAAGCAAAAAGATCTCTAGCTGTCTAATCAGAAAATACCAAAATATTTATTGTCATTTTGTTTTTCTTATTATGCAAGATGAAACATCATTTTTACTCACCAGCTCCACGTATAACTTCCTACGTATATGGAAGACTGCAGCATTCTCCTCAGTCACATGCTGAATATTGATTTTTCATTTTTACAGATTTCAGCGTTTCAGACCTAAAACTTATGTCAGAGACCATCCTTTCTAAATCATTTAACATGCTTAAGTTTTAGGCTAATAAATGAAACACTTTAACTGTCAGGCATTTTTAAGATGTCAATATGTTTGCATTTGTTTTGCAAAAATGAAAACCACAAACACAAAAAGAGGATTGGAAAAGTGACAGACAACACCAGGACACTAGCAGAACTAGGAAAACACCAAAAAATGCCTGGGAAGGACACGTGGATGGATGGGACTCGCAACTGAAAAGCATCAGGGACTCTATATTCAAAACATTAAATGTTTTTGCCCAGACTTTATAGTTTAGGTGAATAATAAAAAAGTCATCCAATTTAATTTGATGAGCACTGTGAAATCCATCACGTACGTAGCAAAATTAACAATGTTAGCCTCTAAGCTGGTGGTTTTGGAGCTGCCAATGTGTCTAGGGCAAGGGTCTGGCCCTCAGAGCCATGTGCTCCAGCTCACAGGGCTCCTCGAATGGCTGAGAATTTGAGGCCTGGACCCACAGCTGAATCCTGGGACATCTTTCAGAAGTGGTGTTGTAAGCAACAGCTGCATTAATCCTAGCAGCTCCATGACACCCTTACCCCACCACTGCTGTTCATCCCACCACTGGAGGTGGGTTCAGATATGGACAATGGCGAAATGAGTTTGACACCTCTCATCTAGTGTATTCTGAGCATTTTTTTCTATGTGGAAAGAAATAATTATCTCTAATATGCTGTGAGGAAGGCTGGTCTATTGGTTACGGCAAGGAATTGAGATTCAGTTTGGAAGCTATCATACCTCCCAGTTTAACCTCTGCCAAGTCGCATTTCATGCATCTGCTCCCCATGTGCCGTTACATTCCTCGCAGGGTGTTTTACAGATCAATTTGTTAACATTCATTAAGCAATCTGATACTAACAGACAAGGGAGCCTGCCATGTAAAGTACATAGACAGGTTTGTATTAAACAGCTACTTTATTTTGAAAGATAAATATTTAAACACAATTTTAGAGCACTTCTCAAAAAACACACTCCAGTTTCCACAGGAGGCCTTTCATACCGACATCAGCTTAATTGTTCTATACTAGCTGATCCTGCATTTTAATTCTTGTAAGTTTTCAAACAGACTTGTTCAATAATGTTTTTTAATTAAATGTTGAACTCCAGGGACTGAAAGCTACACTACTCATTTAAAATGTTCGTAACTGCATGTTTTGTTTCATAGTGTAAAGGAGAAAGCAAGAACTTACCTTCACATCTTCATCCAGTTTCATAATCTTCTTAATACGAGCCAGTGGGAGCTCCTGTACTCTGAAGTCTTTCTGTGGAGAACAACAGGAATATGGTTTATTAAATCTCAAACAACACATAATTCAAAGTAAAGGTAGCATATAAGTGGAACTACAAAGAATCAGAATCAGCTCACAAACAATTCCCTCTAAGAGGCAGTCATTTTTATTCTTGTCCAAAGTATAGTAGCCACTATTCAGCATATCGTGCTCTTCCTTTCATCCACTTTTCGCTGCCTTTCTCGCTGTTATACAGTCAGCGGTGTCTTAGGCAGATGCTGGTACGTACCTATTTATCTTGCTCCAAATTCCTTTCCAAATTCCAGAAGGTGGCTGTATACCAGTGCCATTTCCAAACACTGCATTTTAGACCAATTCTTGTTTACAGCAAGTGCATTCATTTGGGATACTTTAGACAACCAGAAAGTGTTGAACAAATTCACCAAAAGGACCAGGAGAAAGACGATGCAGAAGATGAGAAAAATAAGCATTGGTTGCCAGCATGGGGCCAAGAGTTTTCTTCCCTTTACTTGAACTTGTGGCCAGCTGCCAGTTTCGGCATGAAGCAGATGGCAATGTGGTGTAAAAACTGTTTACAAATGGGCTGCCCAATTTTTTTGCCAATGAAGTGGCTGGCTGGCTCACAGAGAAGAAAGGTCATGGTCTGGAGGGGGAAGCAGGCCACTGGCAACTGGTCCAATTGCCATGCCCTGTTGAACATCCAGCATATACGCAGCCTATAGGAAAGCAATAAGAAGGCAATTACACCCCTTCCTGCAGAAAGAGGACCAAGAATATCCTGTTAGGGTTTATGTCCAGAGAGAAACCTCCAATGCTAAAGGGATTAGCTGTACTTCATTTCTAATGTAACCCCCTTTCCCCAACATCTCATGTCCCTTTTCCCTGCTCAGAAAATAATGTTTCTCCTGAAGCCTTTAAACACTGATAAGCATTCAGTATCTACACATCAGAGGAGGGGATGCACCATCCCTTCTCACAAAGTGCTTTGCAAAATGCTTTCTCCCTTCCAAATGAAAGCTAAGGGGGAAAAAAATCTGCTAGGCGTAATACAAGGAAACATGTTTCCCTGGAGAGAGATGTCAGTGCAAATGTTCTCAGTAAAGAGAAGAAAAATTTGCCATCCTCCACTGAGACAGGAGAGGGTGCATCTGGCTCTACTAGCAGGGCAGCAGGAGGCATTTTCATTTAAAAAGGACTGCCTCTGTTCTGCTGGATTGGAAGGAAATGCTAATTCAGTGGGCATAATGCTTGTGGTATTATTGTTTCACATCACAAATTAGGGCTTATTTTGGAGGGTGCTTACAAACCAGAGAAAGAGCTCAGGAACTGACTGAGCTGCCTACAGTTTCACCTTTCAGCAGCTAAAGGATGTTGAGCTGCAAGTAGCAGCCTGCACTGTCTGTAGGGCAGGGGAAAAGCCCCACAAAAGGTGCAATGCAGCATAGCAGGTACCTCACACCTTTCAGAGCACAGGGAGAGGAAATTTAATGGAGGTTAGGGGCCAAGGAACATCCCTTACCTAAGGCTGGGGGGAAGCTGCTGGAGTTTATCAGGTGATTATTAGGGACCAGAATGATAGGGGGCTGGGCAGAAAGCCTACAAGGACAACAAAGGGCCACCAGTATGCCTTTAAACAGAATTTTCTACCAGTATTCACCTCTCGCACGCACGCACGCACACACACGGCAAGGAGGGAGAGGCGGCAGGTTGAAAACTCGAAGACAGATAAAAACAGAATTTATTTTTTAAAAGAGAGACTGTAGGAATTTATAGGCAAATCCCCTCAATGTTGAGGAGCTAATTTAAGCGTTCAAATTTTTTGATGTTGAGAATGCTGCCAATTAGTGTTAACTTCTGGGAAGATATGTGGATCCTCTGCACAAGCTCTCAGCGGTGCATCTGCTCTGTAGCTTCTATAAAAATATGTGAAAAATATTTTAAATTTAAGATATACTTGCAGGGAAAATTTTACACCTATAAACAAGTAGTAGAGCTCTTTGATATCTGCTTATCTTTTGCATTAATTTTGGTGTAAGGGAAGTAGGCATGTTGTCTGGCTGCTACCCAGCTAAATAAACTTTAGCTAACAATTCCTCATCTTTCCTTTTTTTCCAAAATAGGTCTCAGTGTTTTCACCAGGCCTCTAATTCTGGAGCTATAATGCATCCTTCATCAGATCTTCTACTAGTCCTCGAGTATAATGCCATTTTTCTTCGTTGCTTAATAAGGGAGGCTGAAATCTCAAGGATTTTTTTGAACTGTGTTCCTATTTTCCTTTAATAATAGCTAAAAATCTGCACACTGCAAAAGCACAAGAATAGAAATTAAAGATCCTCTCAAACAGCAGGCAACCAGAACAGTTTGTACCTCAGATGACTACTTTGACCCCAGCTACACAATACATATAAATGAAATCTCAATTTGCTCAGGTACACATATACGACAGCACACTGTGTATTGGCTTTATGACAAGACATACAGTAATGTCTGTGCTTGATTAGGTGCAGGACCAGTTAGTAATTGTCCCTCCCCACCAGCCTTGTCCCCCTCGCTTGCACTGTCCTCATTAAAATTTTCATTCAGGCAGAAGGGCTACAATTTAGTATGCAACATTTTGCTACCTTGCAATGCAATAAACAGATTCACATGACAGCAGTGTTAAAAATTCAATTGCCATACTGAATAAACTGTAGGATAAAGCCTTACCACCCAGAGATGAAGGTAAGCTATAGTTCTTGCACATACAAGCTCAATATACTAAAGGTACAAAGTAATTATTTCTGCTTTATGAATAAACATTTCTAAATCTGCTTCTTGAATTGAGTTGGTGTGTATACGATTAAAGCTTTGTCTTTATGGACTACTTTATCAAAACAGGTTTCTGCATTTTAAACACCCATCTTTAAATCAAGCCTTCCTCTTATGTGAAGTGCAATGAAAAAAAAAAAGGCTGCACATTTAAGACAAGACAGACCATATTAATGTTACAATAGAAGCACCAGTCTCTTTAAAAGAGGCATTTCTGTTACAGGCCCCTTTTCTCCGCCACTCACATTTTAAAGAAAAAATCTGGACTGAAATTTCAGCTTCTCATTCCATCTACAAGCAAATTTCTAAAGTGTGTGTGTCAAAATTACACTCAGCTTTAAATGATTTGAGTGCATGACAAAAGGTAGCAAGCACCACGTTTTTTTAAACAATGCACTCATTTGCAAAGCTTCAAACACATCGAAGATTAGACCTTAACCTGGGTACATTACACTCTTCAAAAACAGTAGATGTGTGAGATTCTCAGGGTGCGCTTTTGGTCTTAAAACTAACATCAATAGATTACGTACCAAAGTAAATTTGTCTAGTTCATACACAGATAATTGTGTAGGTCATTAGGCTCCGAGATACCTTTATCTTTGATACCATGGCTTGGATATCAATTATAATATGTCCTTAAAAATGCAAGGGAAAAAAATTAGTCTACAAACATCTAGATGCTATTAATGTACTGAACAAGAGGTTAATAAAGAGATCACAACTTTAAATAACCTAAAAGTGGTGTATGTGTGTGTTTAGATTCTAAATAATGAAGTTGCAAAACTGTAATTTTTCTCACTTTATTTCATTAAATGCATAAGAGAACTAGGAGAAAGCAGAGTCTCTGTTACAAGGTGTTTTAAAAGTGGTATTATCAAGTGAAGAAAAGCTAGTGGAGTGGGGGGAAGGAAAAAACCCCCAAACCTTGAGCACTGGTACTAAAATCTGATTTAAATGCTGCTGCTCATAAAACTTGAAATGGTATAAAAACGTATGTATGAATGTACCAAGTCATGACACAGTATAAACTCCATTCTGGAAAGAGAAAATAAAAATCCATCTTTCAGCCACAGATTTTTTTCAAATCTGGGAAACATTTCAATACTATGCACAGTTAGAAAGTGTCAGCTTTCCAGCAAAAATCTGGAAGCACTTTGACCTGCATATGATATATTACAGAATACAACAAGAGTAGTGAGCAATACGCTATGTATTATGTTATGCAATATATTCCCAATCTCCTGACCTTCAGCTGGTCTCAAGGTTGGCCAGTACCTGACAATAATTGCACTTACCTACATTATTCCAAAATCTTCTCACTCCCACTTCTCCCAAAAGATGTTAAAATATTTCTAATGCCCTTTAGGAAACCAACAGCATCTCTCAGTACGCTAAAAAGTCTTTCCATCAAACACTGTTTCCCTTCTAACAGATTTGGGTTTAAAATCGCAATACGCTCATCATGGATAACTATCACGTCTCACTGAACTGTGAAATTTGTTTCAGCTGGGCTTAATATTTTGACAAATCTAGGTATTTGAAAGAATTGTTGACCAAACTTTATAGCCCAAAGCTCTAACATTTGAAGTTATTGTATAAAAGGTGCATGAAACCATGATCCACCTTGATATACTCCTGCACAATCACTGTGGTGGTCATCAGTGGGATCTGTTGGTACATACCCAAATGCAGCAGGTGACCAGATACTCACAACTTTAGTGCTATGAAAAATGCTGCAACTCTTCCTGTACTAGATATTTTCTGAAAGTTTCCTGAGACTTTCTTACCACTGTTAGATTTCGTATCTCCTCCATAACCCGAGGCCAGAAAGACTGAAGACTCTGCTGAGCATCGCTACTGCCAGCTGCGCCAAAACCACCATCTGTGGACATTTTGGTAACTGGAAGGAAAAAAATGGCAATATTAAGAGGGAAACTGGGTTTGCAGAGTCCTAAAGTCTTCTTGGGTCTCTCCAGGAGTTTGGGGAGGGAGTGGGGGGGGAAGGGACCCTCAAAATAAAACAAGTTTCACAAGTTCATACAATAAACAGTGATAAAACACCTGTGCTCTTTGGGGGAGGGCCCACTTGCAATATAATTTCAAAGATATAAGGATGACTACAAAATTTAAGATGCTCTCCCCATTCTGTTTTATCATCCAAATACATACATCTCCTCCAAGAGGTGGGTCATACCATCTAACAAGGTGGATTGGCTGCCTATGAAAGCTCCTGCCTATCTAAACCAGCAAGTCTTTAAGCCTAAGCACAGACAGTCAAAAAGCCCAAGGTTGAATCAATTTAATCTTCACAGGTTAGTCTAAGCTGCGTAGACTGAACCAATAAGCAATGGGCTTCCTCGCATCCAGGGGCAGGGCCACGGCCAGGCTGATTTGCCCTGGACCCCACACCCTGCTCAGGTTGTCTTGTCTCTGCAGATTTGAAACAGTTTCCAATCACTTATACCCGTTTATGTGTAATTTCTGATTGTAGCCATTAGAGGCAACCCCGGTCCACTGGGCCTTCTTTTTACTCCAAAAGGGCATACAAAGTATCCATAAAAGATTTCAAAGACTGCTAATACTACAGATGGGAAAGATTTTTAGTAGATTTATTAAACTAAACAAAAAAAAGGAGACAATGAATAAATTCCAATTTTGCTTCCCCCAACAATTAATCAATTTAACAAGATCAAAGAGGTCTTGGCAAGCAACTGTTATTCTGCCTTAACCCATGCCTTGGGTCCACCTATGGTAAAATTAACTTTGTTGGCACCCATTGTGGCTAGCTTGCTTCTCAACTTTTCTTTTGTGCCTAGATATTGCAGAGATTTCAGCCCCAACTCATGAATGCCCATCTATATTCAATATTATTTTAAAAAGATCAACCTAAAATTTAGAATTTTTTTTATAGTTTTACACCTACTTCAGTTCTGTCAATTTCTGCATTTTTTAAATCCCAAGTTCTTATTTTAAAAATATCTCTCCACCCTTCTAAGATTTTTTGCAGGTCAAACAAATGGAAAAACTACCTGGCCATAAGCCAAGAACTGTTAAATGCATAAAATAAATACAATAAGAAAAAGAGCTCTGATCTTTAAAATTAAGGTAAAATGCTACTGACAGAGGGAGAGGAAAAGATGAACTTTCGTGGGGCTTTTAAAATGGAAGTTTTCAGTTACTTGTCTGTATTTGTGCAACTTTACAAAATAATGCTGGTCATCCATTGAGTATACCAAAAATGTTTGACTTCAGCAAATTCTGTTTGACTTTAGGACTACACAAAATCTAACTGAAGGATTCCCTATAGTCTGCACCTTGCTAAAAAGCAACTTAGAGTGTACTAACACCTGCAGTAGAAATCAAAGAACATGGGAGATGCAATTACTGAGTTCTGACCCTTCTATTTGACCACAATACCAAAGGAAAAAGAAAAGACTGGAAGACAGCTAGCTATGCCACCATCATATCAACTACTGTGACAACCCTTCCCTAATTGGGTGGGACAGTCCTGGAACATGGATAGCATTTGTCCTGAATTTGTAATGTCATGCATGGATCCAGGTTTTCTGTTCCCTGCAGAAAAGCATGGGAAACGGTGGGTTTCCTTTGCAGGCTGGCAGTGTATGCTGCCCAGCTGAGATTGTGCATGAGGCTTGGGGCCTGGTGCAGGAATGCATGGCTGCCTGGCCCAGCTGGGGAGCGGGATAGAGCCATGCGTGGCTTGTCCACAGGGCAGCAGTGGGGCTAGCTCCTTTGCACTGCGCACACTCCTGGGGAGTGGGTCATGGAGGGGCACATGCCCCCCAAGACTTGTGCATTGTGGGGGCTGACTGCTGCAGGATCAGTGCTCCACATGCTGCTGCCCTCTCCCAGAGGTGTCTGTGGCCCACTGGGCAGGAGCTGGCATGGGAGGGCAGAGAAGCTTGGTGCTGCTGCCACCAGGTGCCATGTGCTGCCTATGCCACCATGGCAAGGCAGCTTCTGCTGACCCAGCAGCAGCAGGGGCAGTGGTGCGGAGATGTGCCCCCTGCCACTGCTGAGTGGGGAGGGGGCATCTTGCCATGGTGGCACGGGGCTCCTGCGGGGAGGGCATTAGGATGGGAAGCCCTGAGCCCGCAGCCCACATCCTCCCCCGCCCTCCATGGGCTCGGCTCAGCTCTGCTCCAACCGTGCCACCGAGGGGGAGGTGGGCTTGTGTCCCACCTTTCCATTTTTAAAAAGGCAGTCACCTTATCCTCAACCTCTAATTTACATGCGACTAAACAGGATCCAATCCTTTGCCTTTCCTAGGGAATTGCAATGTAAGCGAACACAAGTCTTTCGCCTTGTAGCTACTACAGAAGCAAACCCTGTTTCTAGGGTCAAAAATCTTTTATGGCATTTAAGCCCAAAGTGGCTAATTTAGACAACCATAAAATATGCTTAGAAAATGCTCTAACTACAAAGAAACAGTGTTACAAAAATAAGAAAAATGAGGTATGGGGCATGGTTTCTCGAGTTCCTGACAATACTCTGGCAATCGTTAAAGCTCTGGCAGAAGAATGCTTGAGAAGTGCTGGTTAGACACTAACAACATTCCAGTCGTGATGGCACGTATGAATTACAGAAACAGAGTGCTGCAGGACAGAACTTGTTATTCCCCAAGCACAAAAATTGTTTTAAGTGAATGTCAGAAAAGTCACTGCTCACTTCCCAATGGAACAAAGCCCGAGTTAGCTAGTGAATTATTAGATCTTCTTCTGGGGTCACCCAAAGCTGCTTTGATCTTTTTGTTAAAAACCCACCCTCTCCATCCAACCCTCATTCTTCAAAGTTCAGGAATCTGTAGGGAAAAAAAAACTATGGGCTGCTTCTAAAAAGATAAATCTCAGCAGACAAAGATATTTGTGTAGGGTGATGTAATGGGAAAAGACATAGGGCCAAATTTAGACCTAGCATAAGCAGGCACAATTCCCATTTTCTTTTGAACCATTGTGTATAATGGCTTATTCCAGTCATTTCTCAAGCTGCAAGAGGAGCAAAGTAATTTTAAATTTTACAATATGACGTAGTATCAAATGTCATCCGGGGCAATGGCTGGTAGATTTTAAGACCCCACTGTACCAAATACAGTAATGACTTTCCATAAAAATATAAGCTGGATAATTCTAGAGTGGCTTACTGATGGGAATTTAGTTCTATACACTCTATACTTTTCAGTTCAGACCATAAAGGAGCCTTACAAGTGGTTACATTAAAAAAAAAAAATTCTGGCTGGTTTGAGAGAGCAGGACAAAGACGAATTTAGAGATGAAAATTGTTGCAATTATGACAAAAGAAAGGCAAAAATCATTGTGTGTGTAATACACACACACACACACACACAAAAAATGACTTTTGCCTTTATACACACACACGGTGTTTATAAAGTCCTTGTGCAACTTTAAACTTTAATAACTTTGGATGTATACGTGATAGAAGCAAACTGTAAACAACGACCAAGAGCATAACTCATTAAGTTTTAACACAATCCAGCTCAAATTCTAGACTTCAACATAACTGCCATCTTTCGTAACACATCATTCAATCTGTACGTCCAACTCCTAGAAAGCATTTTCCAGTTGCTGTTGAGTGATTTCATGAATTGCATTTGTGATCCTTATCCTATGCATAGCTTACACTATGCTAAAAAAATTAATAAATTATGCTTTCAATTGCCGTTTACAGTTTGCTTCTATTATGTGTATACCCAAAGTTTTTGAAGTTTAAAGTTGTACAAGGACTTTATAAACACCCTGCATATAGACATAGACACAGACACAGACATAGACATAGACTTTCTGGAAAAAAGAACAAAAAAGACCAACAAGCCACTCAGTAGCACCAACTGGAACTCATTTGCATAATTATCTAGAAGCTAACCAGCTTCAAACATTTAAAAGGAACAAAAATAAAAATATTAAATATTTGTAACCAAATTCTGACTGTTTTCTTCCTGCTTTGTCATATGAAGCTCAGAAGCATCATTTTAGGAGCATAATGCAAAGTAATCCTTCAAATCTGCTCTGCGTGGCCACTATTCCATTATATAACTGAACTCATATGTCAATGCCACTAGCACCACAGGGACTTTTCCCGAACCAGTGATGCAACTGAGTCAGAAGGCAAAAGCACTATTTTTTTGTGGTTTTACTTCAAAAATTATTTGCATTTAGGTCTATTTAATTGCTATAATGGAATGAATTACTAACGGCAAGAAACGGAGAAGTAAAATAAAAACTGACTCATTAAAAAAAGACAAACACTAGGAAAATGTTTATTTCTAAAGCCAACATGGATACTACTAACTTGTTTTATTGGAGCAACCCTTACAGAAACCCTCTGAAAATGCTTGTAATTAAAATGGAAACAGAAAAGTTTTTACAAACACAAATATCAGGGTAGAAATGTTTAAAAAAACATTACAGCACTGCTCTGCATGAGAATGAAAAAGTGTCGAGAGACTATCCAGTAAACACTGTCAAGTCTGAGCAAAATTCTGGAAGTGAAGAGAAAGGTAGTGAAAAGTGCACTCCATTTTTAATTCTCCATCTCCAGTTTTAAAAACGGCATTCATAAGAGGTAAGGTATTTACTAATATCTTGCCAGCATCGCTTTAAAAAAAAAAACCAGCTACTGGCCTAATACATGCAAACTTTTGAGTCTTCTAATTCTGAAGGTAAAGTCTACATACACCAAGGCATGCTGAGTTCCTGGCATCTTTTACTATGCCGCCAGAAGTCATACTTTTGACAGAGTAAGTGAAATACAGATAGCGATCTTTACTGCAGAAGCTGACCATAACTCATTCCTGATATCACTAATGAAAAGCAGCACAAATTCTCGGTTTTAATCAAATACATCCTGTAACTTTGTAAATTT